CATTTGCCTAGTTTGTCCACTGCCAGGTTCACCAAGATGTCTCCATGGTCCGGCGGGGGGCCAAGTGTTATCAGTTTGATATCCAAAATTATAATTGTTGTGTCTTTTTGTGCCCATGAAATAAGCGGCTGCGGCCGCGGCCCTGCATTTTGCGGGTGCATCCACCACCCCTCCGTTTTTGTTCCCCAGTTAACCTTCATATCTGCTGCCAGGGAGAACAGGTGGATGACTTGTGTCAGAGTTTGAAGACTTTGATCATCCGCCCTGATAAGCACAGTGAGGTCATCTGCAAACAGTGATGTGACCGGGACAAGATGCTTTGGCAACTCTAGAATGAACACTCATTGTATCTGTGGGCAGTGTTGTCGAGCGGGGATCCCCGGGGGCTTAGTCGGTGTGAGCATTAGGCCTCCGGACCCCTATGACGGGGACCACCCACTCCCGCCCCCGTCGAACTACCCCGCCGCCGCCCAGCCCCAGGCACCCCGCCCCGCGCCCCGCAGCCCCGCCACCGGCCTCGCACAACCGCCCCCTCACTGCAACCCCGGCACCGCGACCCCGCTTGCATCCCCACCCCACAAGCCGTTATCGGATAGCTGAAAATTTAGGAATGAAAATTATGAAATGAGAGTTTTTGGCAGTATGAAAATCCTGAATGGTCCTGAAGTGGTGAAAGGTCCGATGACCTTGAAAACCACCTGTTTAGGCAGGCTGCATCCTGAAGTGGAAAAGGGTGTCCTGAAGTGGTCAAGTGAGAGTTTTGGGCAGTCTGAAAATCCTGAATGGTCCTGAAGTGGTGAAAGGTCCGAAGACCATGAAAACACCCTTCACCACTTGAGGATGCATCCTGCCTAAACATGTGTTTTTCAGGGTCCTCGGAGCTTTCACCACTTCAAGACCATTCGGGATTTTCAGACCTGAATGGTGCTGAAGTGGTGAAAGGTCCGAAGACCCTGAAAACCACCTGTTTAGGCAGGCTGCATCCGAAAGTGGTGAAGGGTGTCCTAAAGTGGTGATGAAAAATATGACTGTTGTTAACCTTCTCTCCCCCACCCCGGCACCGCAACCCCGCCACTGCCACCACAACCCCGCACCCGAACGACCGACCCCGCTCGCAACCCCGCGGCCCCGCTGCACGACCCCCCACCCCCGCAGCTCGACCCCCGCCCCCCGACCGCCGCACCGCGAGCGACCCCTCGGCCCGACCCCCGCAGTTTGCACCCCGCAACCCCGTGGCCCCGCTACCGGACCCCTGCCCACAGACCCCCGCCAGATTCCACCACCTTCACTCGCCCCCGCAACCCCGACCCCCGCCTCGCAACCGGTACCCCCGGCCCTGCCACCTCGACCCCGCAACAAGACCCCGCCCCCACGGCCCCGCACCCCGGCGGGGGACCCCGACCTAACAACCCGACCCCAGTACAGCGACCCGCACCCCGCAGCGCTGACCCCTGGCCCGCATAACGCAATATGCACTCCGCTCTAGACACCAAGCGGCCCCAACCTCTCCAACCACCCTGGAACCCCAGCACCCAGCACCCAGCAGCCCCAAGGCCCCCGCCCCACCGCTACGCACGCAACACTGCCTCAACACGCACTCCGTGACTCCGTGCCCTACACCCGACAGCCCCAAGTTCCCCAATCCACACAACTAGCCTGCTGGCCCCGGTACACTGCCCCATGTAATGAATGCGGGAAAACACACAGTACAGCACGACACACATGTACACCTCCCCAAGTAAAAAAAAAAAAAAAGTGAAAGAAATTCTGAACTGTGAGGGGGAGAAAAAAAAAGAAAAAAAAAAAAAGATGCAAATGACACAAACTGTTGCATTTTGTTGTTTTGTCCTTTGACGACACACAGTACAGCACGGCACACAACATGTGTTGTGTGTCCCATAATATTCTGTCAGTCGTTGTGCATGGAGTGACTGCCCCACAAACTTAGAAAATAGTGTGGGGTTGAAGGCAATGGAGGCATCAAGGCATCCCATTGCTTTTGCAAGCCGGAGCTTTGCAGCGGTCTATTCTGAATTTTTGAGCCACTTGACCCTTTGCATTGAGGTAAGTGCAACTCACCTCAACGGTCATGAACTCTAGCTCATGCTGTTTTTGCTTTTTTTTTCTCCATTACGACCCCTTTATAAAGGGGCACGGTGTGGGGGGGGATGGTTGTAGAAAATTGAAATGCGGTAACAAAGATCCGTTGTAGGGTCTGTTTTTTTTTCTTTTTTTCTTTCCTTAAGAATGGTGAACCGCCATGAGCGGCAATGCAGTGGGGGTTGGGGGGAAAGTGGTCAACGTGTGGCGGGGGGGGCGGATGGTTGTTGAAAATTGAAATGTGGTAACAAAGGTCCGTCGCAGGGTGAGCGGCAATGCAATGGGGGTTTGGGGGAAAGGGGTCAACGTGTTGGGGGGGGGGAAATGGTTGTTGAAAATTGACATGCAGTAATAAAGGGCCGTCATACGGGTTTTTTTTTTTTTTTTTTTTCCCCTTCAAGAAGGGGGACCCGCCATGAGTGGGAAGGGAAGGGGGGTTTGGGGGAAAGGGGTCAACGTGTGGCGGGGGGGGGCGGATGGTTGTTGAAAATTGAAATGCGGTAACAAAGGCCCGTCGTAGGGTCTGTTCTTTTTATTTTTTTTTCTTTCTTTAAGAATGGTGAACCGCCATGAGCGGCAATGCAGTGGGGGTTAGGGGGTAAAGGGGTCAACGAGAGGCGGGGGGGGGGGGGGGGGGGGGTTATGGAAAAGGGGGAAAGGAAGCCGAGGGTGGGGGCATTTTTTTTTTTTTTTTTTTTTTTTTTTAAAAGGGGGGGGACCCGCGAGGGGGGGGAATTGGGGGGGGGTTTGGGGGAAGGGGGGTGTCAACGTGTGGGGGGGGGGGGCGGATGGTTGTTGAAAATTGAAATGCGGTAACAAAGGTCCGTCGTAGGGTCTGTTTTTCTTTTTTTTACTTAAATCTTTCTTTAAGAAGGGTGAACCGCCATGAGCGGCAATGTAGTAGGGGTTTGGGGGAAAGGGGTCAACGTGTGGGGGGGGGACGGATGGTTGTTTAAAATTGAAATGCGGTAACAAAGGTCTGTCGTAGGGTCTGATTTTATTTTATTTTATTTTATTTTTTCTTCTAGACGGGTGAACAGCCATAAGCGACAATGCAATGGAGGTTGGGGGGAAAGGGGTCTATGGTTCAGGGAGGGTAGGGTGAGGAAGGGGGTAGGTTGTTGAAAATTGAAATGCGGTAACGAAGGCCTGTTGTACGTTTTTTTTTTTTTTTTTTCTTTGTTGAAGACGGGTGCACCGCCATGAACGACAATGCAGTGGGGGCTTGGGGGCGAAGGGGTGAACGTGTAATGGTGGAGGGGAGGGGGGGGGATAGGTCAACATTTGCAAATGCAGACCAAAAATCTATTTGTATGTTGTCCTCATTTCAATTTTTCATTTTCTTTATATTTGTTCCTTCTCATGTTTATCAATATGGTTGTTGTTGACCTTCTGGTAATGGTCCATCTTTTTCAGGGTGATTAATCAGTTCTTCAGTGCAGTTGTACATTGCCAACGTTGCCGCTCTTTGTTTCAGTTTACCCTTACTTACATTTTCTTCGGGGTGCGCACCATGTCTGACCCACGCGGCAACACTTGGAAGGGCCCCGCAAATTTCTCATTGGCAACGGGGAAGAAGTCGGACTGTAGTAAGAAAGGTCACAACATGAAGACATTTGACTGCCCTTTGAGGGTTGATCCTGTTTCGCATTTTGTCGCTCGTGGTCATTATTTAGATGGATCCACTGCGCTCGGGAGAAAGAACAAACGTCGCTGTATGTGCAGGTTATGTGGCCATTCTATTTGTGGGGGTGCTCGCGATGCAAAGGAGCACTTTTTTCGTGGCGAGGGCTACAGATACCTCGTGGGGACTCTGACGGTATGACATGCTATTTGGTCGATGGATATGTCGAAGTGTCCTGCACAACTGGCTTCAGTCGTGCAGGCTTTGCAGTCTCTCCCTCCCGGTCATCCCTCTTTTCAGTGGCCACCTATTCGTTTTCCTGAGGACGCCGTTCAGCCGCCCCCGCCGTCCGCCCCCGCCCCCGGAGGCCATGATTCCTGCACCCGTTGCTGGAGCGGTTTCTGGTTGGTGTGCACGTGATGCGGGTGTCACACTGTCGGCAGCAGCGCAGCCTGCTGCGCAGGGTCCCGTGCTACTTTCGGGTGTCGGGGGACCTGTGCAGTTCGGTGAGCATGAAACTCGTGCTTTCGTTGAGGGTCTAGGATGGGGGAAGGACGCAGGCAGATCAGTTGGCCTCGCCCCGCTGTTCACTGACAACAAGAGATAGGATTGCAAGAGTTTCACGTGCAGCCGCAGGTCTGCCCGTGGCAGGACCAACCACAACGGGGCATCAATCCGTTGCTTATCTGTGGTTACCACCCCCTCCTTCACAAACACGAGGTCCTACACCTGACTTCCCTTCAACACCTGTTCGAGAGGCCGTTGTAGCGATTCCTTTGGGGGCGGGCACTATCCCGCCCGACGACCCCGTTCAGGTTTCAGATTCGTCACCCACGCCTGCACCCGTGAACGCACGGACCTTGCAGCACGGTGCTTTTGAGACATTGGATCCTTTGCAAAATTTGCATAATATTGCAACTCCAAGTCCGGGTTCTGCCGCATCACCTGCGACCAGCGGTGGCGTGTGGGATTCGCGAAGTTGCTGCGCCCTTGCATGAGGGAGGGGTAGTTTCAAGCAACAAGCGGTAAGCTCATATTACAATAACCCTTTGGAGCACGCATGGCACCTGCAGATCATGCGATTCATTCTTGAGATCGACTTGTCGTTCAACTGCGTGAAGCTTGAGAGCTTCAAACGCATGTTGACAGTGATTATCCCGCCAAGGGTTCCCGGAGCGCCCACCCCGAAACCCTGCGAGTTTTGCAAGCTTTCATGTCGATGGCACCATTCCTTTCCGTCGAGACTCGCTTTGGCATGCATTTCATTATGATGCGGCGACTTCTTCAGCTACAAGCGCATCTTATGCAAGTGGTCATCGATGATCGTGGAAGGACACTATTTGGTCGACGAAGAAGATTCGATATGACGCCGCGGAGGTCACAACATGTGTCGGTTATTCTCTGTGGTGGGAGGATATGAAAGCGGTGCGCAAGTTGTTGGATCCCATCATGGACATGTTGCAGATGGTGGACAACGACACGAGGCAGATTGGAAAGATTTTGCGTCGGTATGACGAGATGATCGTACGCTGTTTCTCTGCATGTGCTGCTTTTGACACGGAGCAGGATGCAGTAGTTGAGGTCTTTGACAGACGCCGAACCATGTTCAAGTCACCGACTCATGTGGCTGCCATGATGTTGGATCCAAAGTTTCGAGATCGCACGCTGCCAGACGACGACGATATGCACCAGGGTTGGAAAGCTGCTCTGATTCAGTTCGGGTACCCAGAGAGCTCAGACCAGCACAAGGAGGTCCTCACTGCCATCGACAAGTTTCATGTCACGGAGCCACCATTCCACGACGTGGTCATGGACCGAGCAGCGCGGAGCTATAACCATCCAACCAGTTTTTGGGAGTCGAAGGAGAAGAGGTTCCCTCATACGGTCTTCTTCGCCGGCAGGATACTACGTGTCTGGGCGACGACATCACCTTGCGAGAGTGCTTGGTCCTGTAGGAGCTTCATCCACTCCAAATCTCGTAACAGGTTGGAGGTGACACGGGCCGAGAAGCTCGTGCGATGCCACTAGAACCTTCGACTTCTTGACCAACATGCTACTTCGGGCGATGCTCCCAATGACAGGTCGCATCCGTACGGGAGCTGGGTGCACTACTGGCAACAGCTGGAGAACGAGTTGCCCACCGACCAACAGCCTGTCTCAGGCCGAGGAGCCCATACGACGGTGATGCAGGAGGAGTTGATGCATGCGAGAGAGAGGATGCACGTCGTGTCCCACATGGGACCCACGCGTCGATTGCGGGTGTCTCACAGGAGGAGGTGTTGTAGCGGCGGTCATGGGGGTGGCCGTCATGAAAGTCGTGGACAAGGCGGGTGTGGAGGTGCTGGCGGGAGGAGGTCTATCGGGAGTCGTCGACTGCCGGAGGACGGGCTTGTACGCAAGCCTCGACAGCGTTGGGACGAGGGAAACCTTTTGTATGAGAGCTCGTCCAGTGACGATGAGGATTTCTTTGGAACTGGTGGGCTTGCATCGGACGCCGACAACGATCTTGAAGACCGCCACCCGAACAAAGACGACGACGATGGCGCCAGAGGCGATGATCGTGGTGATGGAGGAGATCGGTCACGGCCCCGCTCGACACATGGAGATGGTGACAGAGGGGCTGACGAGGCAGCGGGAGATTATCGTGATGAGAGTGACAATGGGGCAGGGACCGGTGTAGGGGGATCGAGACATGAAGATGGTGACAGAGTGGACGACAATGACGGGGCAGGGGGCGACGGTCATGGTGACGGTGACAATCATGCAGGGACAGGCGCGGTGGGCTTGACACGTGAAGACACGGACAACTGCCATTGACGTCGACCACCGTGCAACCTCGGATGACGATGGAGATGGAGGGGAAGATGACTGTCTATAACTTCTTCAGGGCATTGCCCTGAAGCGCTTGAGACGTGGACCAAGGGAACGAGACACTATCGCTTTTCGTATGCGCAGACGTCGCGGTGGGGATTCTGCCATTCCATGACCACGAGTCCCAGCAACTGAGCAGATTCCAGTTTCTAAGGACTCTTTCAGTGATGACGCCCGCGAGGAGCAGATTGAGCAGGATTATGGGAGCGGTCCTGCACAAAATGATACGAAGAGTATGCACACAACAGCGGCAGAGCAAGAGAGCATGCCCCCACCTCGCAACCTTCATGGAGTTCAGTCTGACGTCACCAGGGAGGAGGTTGCTACGTAGTAATCAGCGACAAAGGGAACGGATGCAGATGACACGGCATCGTGGCCACCAACTGCATTGATGGAGAAAATTGTTGTTGTGTGTCTAGGCGTCGAGCACCCGGAAGGAGAGGTCTCACACACTCCCGCACCTAAGCAGAGCGTCGCAGGCCATATCGGGCTCGCATGCCCCATCGACAGTCTTCAGGGTACTAGCGAGTTATTGGTCATGGACTCGACACTCATCTCTCTCCCAGACTTGTCTACTTTGATATCTCCTGGTTTACCGCACGTGTCACCTCCTTGCCCACATCAGGTTTTCGGCATAGAGCGAGGACCTGTCTACTTTGATGAGTTTCGAGGCGATACGATAACCCTACCAACGACGTCTGCCATGCCCACTGTTTTTCGTGTGGGCAGACCGCACGAGGTCGAACTTGGTTTGGTCGAGACGACGATGCGACACTGCCACGATGCTCACCGCAGCATTGCACAACCTAGTTTGTCTGATTCTTTTGATGGAGCGCATTCATTGGGTGGCGCGGAGGATGGTGGCTTTGCTGCATGCCATGCAGTCGACGGAGTAGTAGGACCTCCATGTCCGCCGTCACATTCAGAGCCTCAGCCCATCGGCGCGGCCGCCGGCGCAGTTGCGGGCGTCCCCGCCACGGACACCACGAACGTGACACAACAGCCTGTGGCGGGGTCATCCGCGATAGCACCACGCGACAGAGCTACTATTTTGCCGAATGTGGCATTCTATACCAGCGGGACCACTGGCAGGGGGGTGGAGGAGCAGGGAGTCGGGATTGTTTGCAGGTCAGCAGCACCGTTTATGGGGATACGATCCACTGGGACTGTCGATGGTGCTCGCCACACCACCATGATAGAGTACGAGGCCCGGCATGGGAGCACTTTGCTGACGACGACACCGGATGTCCAAGCGACGAGGGCCGTGAAGGCGAGTCTTTCTCGGACGAGGAAGAAGGCCGCGGCCAGGAAGGCATCACATTTGTCACCGCATATGCGTTCCCATCTGAGGCGACCCGGCCCTGCCGATCTCGAGGACGGGGAGATTGCACCCGAGAGCGATGCATTGGATGTTGGAGGGAGGACTGCAGCGATGGCGGAGCTCGTCGGCAGGGAGGGTGCAGGGGGTACAATGCCAGGTGAGAAGAGACGTGACAGTGTACTTATCGTCCACGACGACAACACAGATGTCGCCCCTGGAGAGACCAGAGGCACTGATGATGCGGGGGACTCCGATTACGTACCTAAAGTACAGGCAGCAGACGGAGATGGTGGAGGAGGGCGACGGGTCAGACGGAGGACACGACTCGGGCCACATGGGCAGGGGCCGCAGGGCACACCGTCGATGACGATTCCTGCACTCATTGATCGGCGAGCTCGGATGCAGCAGTTGCTGCGCAAAATGGAGGTCACTCTTCAAGAGACACATGGTTCATCATTCGGACGAGGAAAGTGAGACTCAGAGAGAGAGAGAGAGAGAGAGAGAGAGAGAGAGAGAGAGAGAGAGAGAGAGAGAGAGAGAGAGACTGTTGGTTTTAGGCTGGCCACACGGTTTGATGTTGTACAATGACTTGCTGATTTTTACAGTCGAGACCTAACTGCGAGGCTGTATAGTAACAAAGACTCAGCGAGGGTTAGATTCATAATTTTGTTTGGGTCAGGGACTAACCGAGAGTTCAATACTGAGGGAAAGTCGTAAGGGACATATCAGTAATTTCTCAGAATTACGGGCCCATAGTTCCCCTAGGCTGCACTGCGAATAGCAGGCCAAGGCTATCACCAGGACCGGAGGCCCTATGGCCTAGGCCCGTAGCGTGAGAGCCTATAGTCGGGCAGGTAGAGGCCATAGAGGCCAAAACTGAAACGGTACCGGTTGCCGGTCGGTCCAGTGTGTCCAGGTCTAGGCTACTCTATTAAATTAGTATTAATAGAATTAGGTCACTAGAGTTGAGAGAAACTTGGGACTATGTAACGATATTGGTTCAGATCGGTTCAATCTTTGACTGTTCTTTTGTTATCCTCGCAGGTGTTTTCTTGTGATTGGTTGTTGGGACTCTTGGGAGTACTGTTAGAGAGTGAGAAACACCCAGTGTTATGTCCACACATGTGCATAGTGGTTTCCGTTGCTTACTTTGTCTGTGTGTAGTGTGTACTCTGTCTCCTCTCCCCTTCTTCTTATGCATGTATGGGCGTGCGTGAGATTGTCTATGTGTGAGTGTTGGTGAAAACCGACAGACAACCAAATTCATAAGAATTGTGCATATGTTCAATGCAATATTTTTACCTTGTTTCTGGTCTCTTGCGATTGTTTGTTATTTGTATATCTGCGCATTCAGCGCAATCATGCAATGTATTATTGTATACTGCATTTGGAAACGTTTGTTGTGTAACTTGTGTCAGGTGGAGTGTTGTATAAACCTCCATTATCGTGCACACACTGGCAGTTTGACTGCTCTGACATAATACTGCATCTTATTTCTTGCGAATAATTATTTTTTTATATTAGTGCAATGTTTACTTTTTTTTTTTTTTTTAATCAATGGTGGATGGAGCGCAATGTTTAGTAGTCGATTATGATGAGCATGAATAATAATTAAAAAAAGACCTCAACATACGGTGTACATCGGTTGCAGAAACTTGCAGTACCCCGAGCCCCGCTGTCGAGCGCATCGGCTCCCGCCTCTTTGCAAAGTGGTGGGAGCTCTCCCGACCATGTCACGCAGGAGCTTGATCGAAAGTTCAGAAAATTTTTAGTCTCTCGGTTATAGGCTTAGTCTGAATAATGTTTTGGCAGACGTCAATCTCATCAGGTCCTTTTATCCAACGAAAGAGTCGGACAACGTTCGATGTTGAAAAACCCCGAGAAATACCCTGACAAATACCCTTGTCAGGGAATTTGCCTCGACACCACAACACCAACTTCACCAACTACCCCGTACCACGGCACTATGAGTAGTCTACTAGACTGCTACCCTACTCGCGCAACGTGAAGTAGTGCCGCCAACCACGGCGGTCTTCACTTCTTACTTTGGTGAGCCACTGAGCCACTGGGCCCTATCCCAGGGGCCGGGGCTCTGGAGGCTGCAGGCCCTGCAGACTGCAGTGCCCCAGGGCCCTCCACCCCTAGGGGCCAAGGCCCTGCAGGGCCTGCAGACTGCAGTGCTCCCGCTTCACCAACCCATGGTGTTGTTACCCCGCATGGGCTCCATCCTGGCTATCCGGGCCACCCTCCACGTCCCCGGCCCACAACCCGCAACCCCGCCCCGTCACCTCGCCCCAACACCCCGGCCCCACGCCCGACACCCCGGCCCCAACCCCCACACCCCGCCCTGTCTCCCCGGCCCCACAGCCATGACCTCGGGCCCAACCCCCGCATCCCGCCCAGTGTCCCCGACCCCCCATCCCGCATTTCGCCTCGACACCGCACCCCGCCACCGCCCCCGAACCCCGCACCCCGACCCCACCCTGACCCGCGCCCGCCATCAACCCCAGGCGGGACCCCACCAGAGCGCCCCATCGAATACCCCCGGCCCCGGCGATTGATGACCCCCGCGACCCCGGGGCCCCGGGGCCCCGCGTCGATGATGCCCTGCAACTTACCTCCGCCCCCTGCTGCACCGGCTCAGCAACCTTGGCACCGCCGCCCACCTACCTGTCCCCGCCCCTGCGCTGGGGCAACCCCGCACCCGCCAAGGGGGGTCCGCGGCCCCGGCGGGGACCCGATGTTGGGGCATTTTCTTCATCAACCAGAAAATGTCAAGGGCTGCATGACGGCGGTGCGCACCCCCCATTTTTTTTAATTTTTTTATTTTTCCCTACCCGCACTAGGGTTCCGGGTGCTCACCCCGGGACCCCCAGAACCTCGCCGAGGTCCCGGGGCCGAGGTTCGACAACCCTGTCTGTGAGTGCGTTCTAATGAGTGATGCGAGAGTCTTCATGATAATAATGAAGAGGAGGGGTCCTATGTGATCCCCTTGTCGCACCGACGTCTTAAGGGGGAACGGGGCAGCCAGGTGGCCGTTCAACATAATATTTGTCGAGGCCGATCTATGAAAGATCTTTGTACCCATGGCTGAACACTGACCCAAAGTTCATTTTAGTAATGCATATATCAAGGAAATCCCAGTCAACATGATCATAGGCCTTCAAAGTCGATGAAAAGTACAGCAGCTTGGAGTTTATGTTGTCTGGCATATTTGATGGTCTCGTTGACCAACAAGACATTATCCTGGATATTGCAATTGGGCATGAATCCAGGATAATGTCTTGTTGGTCAACGAGACCATCAAATATCTCAGACAACATAAACTCCAAGTTGCTGTCCTTTTGATCGACTTTGAAAACGTTAAGGCCTATGATTATGTTGACTGGGATTTCCTTGATATGTGCATTACTAAAATGAACTTTAGGCCAGTGTTCAGCCATTGGGTACAAATCTTTCATAGATCGGCCTCGGCCAATATTATGTTGAAGAGGGACAGGAAGGAGAGTGATGGGCCTATAGTTTCGTATGTCTTCCTTATCCCCTTTTTTGTACAGAAAGGTAGTTACTCCTTGTCCCATCATGACTCCCAAGGATCCCTCCTTCTACACCGCCCGTATGTATTCCATAAGGTCTTCACCCAATAGGTCCCAAAACCGCACAGAATTCCTTGGTGAAGGAATCCAGCCCCGGTGTTTTCTCATCACCCAAATCTTCTTCAGTCACTTGGACAGACAAAAACAGGAGGTTGTGCTTCCTGGACGATTGTAACAACGTTCAGTGGCGACCCTGGTTCTCAACAGAAAGACAATGGGACAGAGTACCGAGATGGCACTTCCAATTTTCTCACATGCCAACGCATTTTGTTTTT